ACTGTGCTCTTAGATGAAAATAGAGATCCCTTCTACCCGTGATTACACTGCATGCACATAGTTTGACAATGAACGCCGGGAGCCACTGTCAGGTGTCTCTCCTGCTGTGAACAGTCGTGGTGATAAGCCATGCATTCCTGGTCCTTCGGCACACCCGTTGCTCTTCCTGGGGATGCTTAACAGGCTGAGCCTGTCTCTGTCCTTGGCCCCAGGTAACAAGTACGAAGTCAAGGTGTACACCGGCGATATCCTCGGTGCAGGGACCGATGCCGACGTCGTCCTCAATATCTTCGGAGAGTATGGCGATACAGGTACTGTGTTTGAAAGCCCTCGGCCTCAACCACGTCCACCGCTGCTTCTTAAGTGAATTGCTTCCTGCAAAGCCACGCAGAGATGCCGGGGCCTGGCAATCACCTCGAGCGCGTGGCAAAAAGGCAGTGTTTGGGACCTGAACAGAGAAGCAGAAAAGGAAAGGATGTGTGTGGGGCTTGCTGAAAGCAGCTATGGAGGAAGGCCGTTCAGGGACCTCGCTGGGGTTCTCTGCAGAGCCCCTCTCCTCTTCTTTGGTGTGCGGTGTCGTGGCCTCGCCTGGGCGGCAGGGCACCCATCCTGTGTTTTGATTGTAAGTGTGGGCTGTGCTTTCAGCATAAGGTGTGTTTGGTTTGGGGTTGTTTAAAAGTGTCTGGCATCCTAGTCTACGGACAGACCCAGGTCCTACACCCCCAGGGAACTCATTCCCATTTACTCTCTTTAGCTCCATGCCCATTTCGAGTGCTTCTTTGAAACGTGGCCGAGGATGGCCCTGCTTCAATGCGGTGGGTGGCTTGGGGGCAGGTCAGAATGGGGCTGGGGAGAGAGTTAGACTCCATCTCCCAGGTGCAGCAGGAACCCGGGAGACAGACAGCTGCAGGTCAGAGAGGAGGTCCAAGACAGCAGGCTTGAGAAAGGTGGTTGTCTCCTGTTTCCTCCAATTTAATGGACCAACACAGGAGTCTGAAAAGCTACAAGTGCCTAAGACTTTTTCAGTGCCCAGTATATGAAAGAATTGAAAATGTGTTGTTGATCTAGGACGAGAGAGAGAGAGAGAGAGATCCCCGTGCCACCAGTGAAGAGGGAAATCCAATGAAAACATTCACTCTGAAGTGGCATGCAGCTCTTGGAAAGAGGGATGTTGATGCTCAATAATCCACGGGATGGGCTTTCCTACTGGTTTGGGGTCAGACAATGAAGCCTTACTGCAGTAACCTCATCTCTGAAAGGCCTCTAGTTTGAAAACCAGATCTTGAAAAAGAAATGCTTTGGGCCTATAGCATGTGTCCATCTGTCTGACCCCTAATCTCACACGATTAAACTTGCTCACTGCCATTGTGTCAGTTCTGACTCACCGCGTCGCTAGAGGACAGGGTAGAAATGCCCCTGTGGGGTTCCAAGACTGTGATTCTTCACGGGAGTAGAAGTCTCACCTTTCTTTAGCAGAGTGTCTGACTCCTGGTTTCGAACCGCTGACCTTGCAGTTAGCAGCTCAATGCATAACCCACTATGCCATCAGGCCTCCTCCATTAGATGCCAGTTAAAACAATGAGCTATCATCTCACTCCAGCACTAATAGCAAAGCTCAAAACATTAGAAAACAACAAAGCATATTTTAAAGTAATTAATCGAGGAAGGAATTGTAATGTTGATACTCTGGTAACGCACATTTATAGTCTCCTAAAAAACTCCAAACCTACTGCAATCGAGACAATTTCCACTCAAAGCGACCCTATGGATCCATAGAGCAGCTCTTGGGATTGAACTGCCGACCTTGTCATTAACAGCCCAATGTGTATACCAACTCCCCCATCAGGCTCCATTTTTGCTAGAACTACCACGGTTTTTCCAGTCCCTTCATGCGCATGGGCCAGCTGGACCATGAAAGAGGAAGACGGGAAAGGAATAGACAATGCACTGTGGACGGTGGTGTTGCGAAGGACAGGGAAGGCACCAGGCACTGCCAGGAAACACAACAAGCAACTCAGCCATGGAGGAAGCACAGCGAAGACGCTCCTTAGAAGTGAGGGCAGTGAGACTGGCTCACTCTCTTGGCGCATGTTGTCAAGAGGGACCAATTCCCGGAGGAGGACAGCATCATGCCTGGGGAAGTAGAGGGTCAGTGTAACAATAGGTGCAACCATGGTGAGGATGGCACCGGGCCAGGCCCCGTCTTACACTGTTCACATGGGGTCCCGTTGGTCAGCCCTGGTCAACAGCCCTGGTCAACAGCAGCAAGAAGGACTGCTGGTTGTGAGTTGCTGTTGAGTCCGATCCAAACTCGTGGGGGCCCCATGTGTGCAGAAGAGAAGTGTTCTACAGGTAGCATTTTCACATCTGCGGCCTTTTGGACGCAGATGGCCAAGTGCCCCTGGGTGGGTTCCAGCCACCGACTTTTGGCCGGTGCTCAGCCTTTTGCACGACTGTAATCTGGAACAGCCGCATGTGTGCAGGTCCCCATTTGCCACCATGTTCGTGTGCATCCCAGAAGGCTCTTGCAGGAAGACACTGCAGATTTGAGACAGGAGCCTTGGTCCTTGGGCTGATTCTTGACATGACCAGTGGTCACAGCACTGGGCATTGCCCTTTCTCCTCCTGTCTCCTGTGATCACGGTCCGTGTGTCTGTGCATACAGGGGAGCGCAGGCTGGAAAGTGAAAAGGACAACTTTGAAAAGGGAGCCGAAGATAAGTTCACGCTGGACGCCCCGGATCTGGGGCAACTCATCAAGATCAACATCGGCCACAACAACAAGGGGGCTTCTGCAGGCTGGTTCCTGAGCAAGGTGGGTTGAGTGGTCTGTCTGTGTTTCCTGAGGCTGGAGGGGGGGTGACTGACCCTTCAGAGCTCCAACTTTCCTTCCTAGGCCTGTTTTCCTCCTCGACTGCAGACCCCTGGACGATTAGATTGCCCTCTTGCTGCCCAAAGTCTTCGCCCATGTGATCACCTTCGTCGAAGGCCCACTTTGCTCACCCAGCCAGATGTCATTCACGCTGTTAGGGGCTGTCAAGCCAGCTCTGACGTACGGTGATGCTGTGTTCAGCAGCACAAAGCACCGCGTGGTCCTGGGCCACCCTCACAAGCAGCGCTGTGGTCGAGCCCATTGTGGCAGCTGCTGTTGACAGTCCCCCTCTGCATATGGACCCTCCGCTCTACTGAGCATGCTGTCCTTCTCCAGGAACCGGCCCCTCTCAATAACATGCCCCAAGTGCATGCGATGGAGTCTCATGATCTTTATTTTTAAGAAGCATCCTGGCTTTACTTCTTCCAAGATACATTTTTGTCTTGGTGTGTGTGGCGGTGTACGGTATACGCAATGTTGTTCACCGACACCAACATTCAAAGGCACCGATGCATCTTCAGTCTTCTTTGTTCGTTGTCTGGCTTTCGCACACGTCAGAGGAGATGGTCAGGGAGTCTTTCCTGTCTGCCGCGTACTTTTACTGGGTACAGCCAAGGAGACCCGCCTCAGAAGCTCTCCTAGGGTGTAGTCTTTATGGAAGCGGTCTCCTAGGGTGTAGTCTTTATGGAAGCGGATTCCCGCATCTTGCTCTTGTGTGGAGTGGCTGGTGGGTTATAATTCATTTACATACCGATTTTTCAGTCATTTGATTGATGGATGGATTGCTCAGATCTACCAAACTTCTCAGGTCTGGTCGGGCACTTTCATCAGGTACACAGCTGGTACTCTTGCTAGGTGCCACACAGTCCTTTCTGACTCCTCTTGACCCTGCGTAGGACACAATGAAACGGTCCTTCGCCCTCCCCGCAGTGGTGGCTATGTTTGCACCCATTGTTACAGCCACTGAATCAGACCATCTTGTTGAAGCTCTTTCTCTTGATGACGGATTGTTTGAGGTCTAGAGAAACAAAACCCACTAACATTCATATGTATAAGAAGAAGTTTTATATCAAGAAGTAACTTAATATCAAGGAAGCATCCCAGCCCAGTCCCACTCAAGTCCGGGGGTACAATGATGTCTGGAGCCATCTCCAGACTCAAGTAGCTGCAGGCCCATCTTGCAGAGAGGTACAGTGGGATGCGGGAAGATCTCAGGCCAGTAGTTCAGAGTCTCATGACTCCAAGGTCAATGGAAACATGGCGGGGCACTGACAGCTCTCAGAGTCGAGTGGCCCACATGGAGCCACCCCTGGAGGCAGTCACTGAGTCCCAGCAAGCAGAAAGGTGAGGCAGCAGCAAGAAAGGAGAGGTCCCCAGTGTCTGAATTATAAAAAGGCCACACCACCCAGGAGGCATCAGCAGGCTGTGACCTGATTGACAGGCTGGTCTTTGCCCCCAGCCAGGAGTGTCTATTTGACACACTCCCTAACCATCACACTCACCCTCCACATTACCAAGCACTATGCTTTTCTTCAGGATCTGGTCCTTCCTGCTAATGAGTCCAACACGCATGAGACAAAGTCTTGCCATCTTTGCTTCTGAGCAACACAATCTGGCTATTCTTCCAAGACAGATTTATTTGTTCTCTGGCTGTCCCTGTTCCATTCAATATTCTTCACCAACACCGTAATGCAGTGGCGTCAGCTCTTCTCCCATCTTCCTCAGCCACGGTCTGGCCTTCACCTGCATAAGAGGTTATGGGAAGTACCTTGGCTTGGGTCAGGTGCACATTAGACCTTTGGCTTACTGCATGTCTTTAAGCATTCGGAGTGGCTATTTCTTGCTCTTGAAACCACGGTTGGCACATTAGTCTGTGCACAGTATCAGGCAGGAGAGCTGCATTCCTAGGGGACTTGACAACTTACCTGATACACGGAACACTTTTCTCCAGCTCAAGGAGAGGCAGAGGAAAGGGCCATGAGGCAGCGAACAGCCTGCCTCGGACCTTTGTTAAAGGCTCTCCAACCTCGTCCCCACCGCAACCCTGGGAGGTGAAAGACAGAGAGAAATGGAAGATTGTACCACTTTCTTGTGTAGATGAGCTGGGGGAGGCTGGACTTCCCATGCAGAATCTGCCCCGCCCCAGGTTTAAAAGTGCGGAAACTCAAAGGAATCAGCAGGCTCTGGGGAGCTGATTCACACCAAGCAAGCCCTCAAGGGTCTGATTTATAGCTCAGAGGTTGAATCTGATGTATCTGAGAAGAGAAGCCTGGTGGGACAGCACATGCCGGTCACAGACTCAGCTACCATCCTCCCTTGGGGGTGGGGGATCTCAGGGGTCCAGATCTCAGCCCAGGGTGGGCTTGATAAGACTGGATCAGAATAGGTGCCTATGCCTCCTTTCCACACTGTGGACGCGTTTGTCTTAGAAGACGAATCTCTCATTGAAAATCAGAGCTCATCTCTCTTGGACGGTCTTGGAAACAACTGGGTAGACATTTGACTCTAACCTCCCCCTGATGGCACAGTGTGTTGGGGTCACTACGCGGATCTTGGGGCTTCCTGTTGGGTCTCCCCAGCACCTTTCTGTGAGCACCTTGGCTCTGGACAGCACACTCTCTTCAGTCTAAGACAGCGGTTCTCAATTTGTGGGCTGCGACCCCTTTGGGGGTCAAATGACCCTTTCACAGCGGTTGCCCGATTCATAACAGTAGCAAAATGACAGTGATGAAGTAGCAACGAAAATAATGTTATGGTTGGGGTGGGTCACCACCACATGAGGAACTGTATAAAAGGGTCGTGGCATTAGGAAGGCTGAGAACCACTGGTCTGGGAGATTTGTCTCCATGTGAGCCATCCAGGGGACACCAGAGATGGCCAACCCCCTCAACATCACCGCAGGAACTTGGCACTTCCTGACCCCACCACCAGGCCCCAGGATGACTGCTGTCTGCTTTGGGGATGACATGGGCTTTCCGACATGGGCTCTGCTTCTTGGCGACAAGGGTAGAATCCCCAGCGTCCAGCAGGTGAGGAAGACGATGACCTGGCTGCCGCTCGCCAACCCAGCGTTCAGTTCGCGTGCTCCGGCCCCTCAAGGGACGTCCTGCCACGAGGCTTCCTCTTCTTTTGCTTTTGTGTCGTTGTGAAAATAGGACGAGCCGGGCAACGGCCAATTCAGCACTTTCACAATGGACAGCGCCGTGAGCCTTCATCAGGCCCAGCAGCTGTCGCCCCTAAGCCAGCACGAAGCTTCCCTTCAGGAATGAAATGCTTTCTAAATGCCACTTCCCTCTTTCTCCTCCCTCCTGTCCCTGCTAACTCTTCTAGAGGCCGCTCTCTGTGCGTCGGCCTGTGCTAGGTGTTCCGTAGCAGTGAGATCATGAGCAAGTGATCCTTTCGTGGCTGCCTTATTTCCCTCAGCATTTCCTTGCCCTTCCAGCAGCTGGGGGTGGGGGGAGGAGTAGCCCCGTCATCCACCCAGGAGGAGGTGATTAATGATCCCTCTGTGACTTCCAGGGCTCTTCAGGGTTTCCTTGCTCCCAGGCATGTCTCTGTGGTAACCATGAACTTGTACTTGCAGGAGACACTCAAATGATGGAGGAGTTGGGTTGGCAGACACTCAACAGCATTCATTTCTCCCTTTCCCTTCTCAGATCATCATCGAAGATATTGGAAATAAGCGAAAATATGACTTCCCTCTTAACCGCTGGCTAGCCTTGGATGAGGATGATGGCAAAATCCAAAGAGATATCTTAGTGGGTGGAGCAGAGACCACAGGTAGAGCTGCAGAGAGGAGACGATAAATGGTCTAGTGTTTCTCATCTGTGGACCTGAGGCTCAAGTCCAAGCATGAGCCTGTAGTGTCTGCATGGCCTTCTCTCTTCTGTGGAAAGTGTCCTGTCCTTCTGGGCTGGAGCCTGGGGCTCTGCTGATGTCAGAGGAGATGAAGAAATGTGCCTGAGCAGACACTAACTTCCCAGGTGTTATCCATAGGCTGAAACGAGCCCTAAGCCACATGCCGACTCTTGACCAGGGTGAACATGACTGCCTCCTGGCCCTTCCTAATACTTAGCATCATGACATGCCAGGCCCACGTCCCAGCACCCAAATCACTGCATCCCCTTTCATCTTTACAACAATCCCTTCCTGGAGGAACAGCTGCTGTCCCCATTCTAGAGATGAGAAACCTGAGGCCCAAAGAGGTGAAGAGATCAGTCCCAGGTCACACAGCCAGTAGGATTTGCTTGGCCTCCTGTATTGCTGTGTGCTATGGAGTTGATACTGCCTCATAGCAACCCTATAGAGCGCTATAGAATTTCACTGAGAGTTTGTAGTGTATATGGTCACGGATGCACTGCAAAACGGACTTTGATGCAATGCCCACGATACCCATGGCAAACCTGCCTGTGGCCCACCTCTGCCTGTAGGAGAGCCCCTCCGTTTGATAAGATTTTCAAACTTCTCACCTTCTGGTGAGAGACTGGGCATGTTCCCTGTGTCTGCAGCAGCAGGACTCCCAGCTCCGATGCGTGGGGCACTCCTTCTCTCCCTCGGCTCCGGCAGTTGGGCGGGGCTCCCTGTGATTGTCTGTGGGATTCACGGCTCCTCCGGTCCCGCTCTTTCAACTTCCGCTCGTGACCTGTTTATTGCGAGGTGTGTCACAAACTTTAAAAATGATTTCCTTAAACACGTGTGTCAGAATAGATTTGCATGATCCCCTCAGCCAGGTGACCTTTACTCGCTGCCTAGCGATGGAAGAAGAGGAGGTCGCATTCAGTGGCTGAGAATTGCTTTGCGTCTAGACTCTGAGAGGTTGTCTGTGGGAGACACCACCGGCCGGTGTCTCAGGACAATAAACCTTGAGACCCATCGGGGGTGAGTGGTGGTCACTGCTTTGTTATCACCCTAAGGCCTGGCATACAGTAAGCACTTAGCAAATGCAGGCTGAACCAAACAAGGTGGAAGTGGATGCACCCAAATGAGTGTCTGTGCAGTCTCCCAAGGGAGTTGGGATTTGATTTCTCCGGGGTCAGGGGATGCAGGGTGAGGTGGAGGACTTCACAAGGCTCAAAGTAAGCATCACCATAGGTCAAGGGAATGGGATGAAGAAATGCAGGGGGCACCTTAGCAGAATGGCCTCTCTGATGCTTTTTGCTGCTCTGTCCCATCTTAGCATTATATCTTTCTGCACTTCCTCGCCCCCAGAAGATCATGATCACAATCCCCAATGATCTAGTCCCCCATTCCTCCCCTCCCTCAGTTTTCCCACCCTGCCACACCAGGAGATGAAGGAGGACCTTCGTGGCCGCTACTAAAAATTACATTTTTCCGTTATCAGTCAAAGAGCAGGGTAAGTGAATCAGATAACCCTGAATATAAATTTCCATTAATGGAGTTGACTATTATAATTAGATTAGACATAACAGAATTCATCCGGCAGCTATTAATAATATGCATATGGTAATTAACATTAATAATAAGTACTATTATTAGCCAACTCAAATTCCTCCTCTTTGTTAATTTCCCATAATGAGGGCTGACAGCTTCCTGTAATAATACAAGCAGTTTACTTCCAAACTCTCACACGGACACACAAACTCTTGAAGAGAGAAAGGCTGAGTGGGTGTGGTAGAGAAAGGTCCTCTGGGGGAGGGAATGAGGGAGATGAGGAAATGTGGAAGAAGGAGGGCCTTAGGGGGCCTGGGCGGGGAGGAAGGGACAGGAGGCGGATCTTTTGATGTGGCTCACCTTGAACCCTCTCCTGCCCCTCTTGTCCCCACACCAGCTATTTCATACATTGTCACTGTCTTCACTGGGGATGTCCGGGGAGCTGGAACCAAATCCAAAATCTACTTGGTCATGTACGGGGCCAGAGGCAACAAGAACAGTGGCAAGATCATGCTGGAGGGCGGCGTGTTTGACCGAGGCCGGACAGACATCTTCCACATTGACTTGGCGGCACTCCTCAGCCCCCTGAGCCGGGTCTCCATCGGGCATGGGAACGTGGGTGTCAACAGAGGCTGGTACTGTGAGAAGGTAAGGGATGCTGCCCAAGTGGAGCCTTCCCCCTCCACTGCTCTCTTCTCTCACTGGCACATAGATGTTCGACTCGACTTCCCACTTTGGACCACTTACGGAACACATGGGTCATTCATTCCTTTGGGCACTTTGGGTGGTAGCATGTCCATCGACCTCGTCTTGCCAGTGACCCAGAACGGGGGCTGTTCAGTCCGTACCCAACACAGGTAGGTTATCAGGGAGGTGCTCAGTCAGAGCTTAGGGACCACCCAGTGTCCTGCTGTGGAGCTTCATCTCAGCGTATAAATCTCTCAATCAAAACTATTTGTAGAGGTATGTTTTTATTGGGGGATACTTAGCCTTTAAAGAATACACGCCATGTGCAGGTGAGATACTGAAGGTGACAAAAACAAACCTCCGTTGTCTCCACCACCTGCTGAAGAAGTGGGCTACGTCATTCAGAAAGGAGGAGGGAGGGAAACCGGAAGCAGAGGGAGGAAGTGGCACAGGTGGCGGCCCCCTGAGGGGATGGCAATGGTTGAGCTGATACAGATGCGTATGAACTACTGAATGTCA